GCCTCCCCCCTATCATGCACAATCAAGGGGGACGACAACCAAGAAATGAGGCGCGTTTCATCACTCCAAGTATGAAATGCCCCCCGTTTCTCGTGTTTGGATTAACGTCCGAACCAAACACAATGCAATGCAACACACATGCAAACAACATGCTTATCTACCAATGCTAGAGTGGCATGCACAAGGCTCTATCATGTAAGCAATGCATGCATGGCATGTTTAGAAGCTAAGGCATCAAAGCTAGCAAAGAGCATAGCACTATAGGCATACAATACTAAGCCTGAATGACCAAACCAACCTCGGACATAGGTCAAATATGCCAAAATAGTGGGACAAATCTACTAAGATCAAGGCACATAACACAAGGAAAAAAATGCACATTTGATGGCTCGCCAACAAGGCATGAAGACAGAACTCTCAAACACATTGAAGGAGTGGAAAATGTGAGAGTGTGGAAATGACATATGCTCTGAAATTTTATGCCAAGTGATGCCATATCATGCAAATAGCTCAAATAAAGCATGCCAAGAGACTTGAAATATAAAGCTAGTCAAGGGCTTTACACTACAACCATACTAAGCAATGCTCAAATGACCTTAAGTACTCAAAACAGACCTAAGGCAGGTCAAAATGGTAGCAAAAACATGCTTGACTTGCAACATAGATGGCAAGAAAGATAGGCTCCCGAATTAGCTCACAAGCAAGGCATAAGGGCACAACTCTTAAACACAATGAAAGAGTGATAAACATGAGAGTATGGGAGAAGTTTATGCTCTGAAATTACATATCGAATGAAGCCATATCATGCACGCATCACAAATATAGCATGCTAGGGGTCCTAAAGTGCAAGGCTAATAAAGCCAAATACACTGTGGCTATGCAAAGCCAAGCATGCATGACCAAAACCACTCAAATCACACCTAAAGCATGCTAAAACATAGCCAAAAATGTGCTGGAGTAGAGCATACACATGCTAGATCAATAGGCTAAAGCACCAAATACACTTGGCTAGTGAACAAAATTGCACTACAAGTGCAAGGAGCATGCAAGAGGCAACCGAACCAACCGAAAACAGAGTTATGACATGACAAATAATGGCTAAAAACATGCTGAAATGGAGCCAATACATGCTAGAAAGACATGCTACTTTGCAAGGCTACAAGTAGGATTACACTACAATTATAAGAAGCATGCAAGAGGTGACCAAGACAGCCAAAAGTAGGTCTCAAAAGTCACAAAAATGAGCCTAAACAAAGCCTCCAAGAAGTAGAAACACATACTCTTTTGGAGGGCCATCAACACATGAAAACAAGAAACAAGGAGGGGAGGCCAACCCCTCCTATTTTGAATCTCAAAACATGGTTTCCACCACTAAAATACCTCCAATTTTCAGTGGTGAAAATGCCAAAAAAGTTGGATTTGAAGTTGCTGAGAAGTTGCACAAAAGGCCTCACAAGCCAAGGAACAAAAAGGGAGAACAACCCCCAAACTCACCAAGCCTTAAACTGCCATTTTTACACCTTAAAAATAGAGTTTTTGACAATCCAAAACTAGCCCCAAAATAGTCCAAAACAATGGGAAAAGAATGGTGAAGCAAGTGTGCAAAAAAAAAACAAGCTTGAAAGGGGGAAGTTCTTACCCTTAAAGCACCTTGAAGGACAGCAGCAAAACCAGCCAAAATCAGCCTTTTGGAGCTCAAAAAGACCTCAAAGAATCTCAGCCCAAAGGTACAGGTGTTTGGTATAGGGCCTCTTTGCAAGAGTGTAGAGAATTCTAAGCTTAAGGCTAAAAAACAAGAGGAGAAAGAGAGAATTCTAGGGAGGGAGAGAGTTTTGCTCACAAATCTTCTAGAGAGAGAGGATTCTAGAGTGAGAAGCTCCCAAATTTTCTAACCCCCAAAATATATGAGATATGGCTCAATATATAGCAATATATGAGCATTGGGTCAGAAATATCTCAATTCAGAAATATCTGGGACAGTCTGGAATAGCTGGAGCAAAATATCTACAAATTCTGGGCTTTCTAGGAAAAATTGTTCGACTAAATACTTTTTCTGGTCGGCATATGGTCGGCATGCTCCATTTGTGGTCGGCACACTTCCTTAGGGGTCTGCAGCAAAAATTAGTCCTGGTCCCCAACTTGAAGCAAGCCTAACTCTTTCATCTAGATGCCTTTTCAGGTCATTCTTGTCTGTAAATTGAAGCCCCGGAAGTAAACTTTCCAATGGTGGTAGCCTCATATGAAAATTCCAATTGTACTAAGAGATATCCCTTTTTTAGTGAAGACTACTCAGTTTTGGTCCAACCGGATTGATGCCCTACTTCAACCAACAATATCTCCCCCATCCACACTTGGGTTTAGGGGATTCTTGAGTGAAAAATGAAGCCTCGAAAGTCTTCTTTCCAATGGTGGTGGCCTCATAGCTAAAATCCAAGTGTGCAAACGGATAGGCCTGATTTAGCGAGGGCTGCTCGACTCTCTCTTAGCGATTCATGCCCATTTTCTTTTCTAGCTTGGTTTCTTCCCTCTTCTCCTCTTTTCTTCAACTCCAAACCACTAAATAAGATGTTTTGGAAGATTTTTCAAAGAGTTCACCTCTCTTTCATTCATTTCTACTTTGTCCCTGCTCGATTTACTGAAAAACGCAGCATTTAACAAAATGCGAGTGTCGGAATATCGTAGGAACTTTGTTTCAAAACTATTTTGAAAGAGAGGGTTTTAAGGTCTAAAATCTTTGGTCAAAATAGTTTTGGTCCAAAAATGGGGTATAAGGTTTGGATTTGACTCTCTCCTTGCCAACGAATTTGACTCTCTCCTTGCCAACGAAACCGAACCTTTGCACTGCACAACTTTCAACACCAACTAAACCATTAGTCACGCCCAAGTCTTAAGGGCGGTCAAAAATGGGGTGTCTACAGTTGCCCCTCTTTGACAGAGCTTGAAGTCATGAAATGACGTGTGTAAATGTCAAAGCCCAGAGACGACCCATTTTTG